ATTCTGTGGAATTACAATGGCTGTGGGTGGAAAGATACTGAGAGAAATCGAAAGGATGTTTTCACTGGTGGGAACCTTACAGGAGCAGACTACAGCTATGAGTAAACAACTGACGGCCTTGGATTTGGAAACAAGTAGCTCTGCTGAATGTAATGAGGACTTGAATGAGAAAGAACCCACAGCTGAATTTGAAATAATAAACAAAGAAGAGGAGAAGACAAAACAAGAAAGAGAACAAGTTATGTGGGAAAATACTAACCAGAAGCTGATATTTGGAGAATACAAACAAGGAGACCATTGGATGGAATCCATTCCAAGCCTACGAAAGATACAGAAGATGAAAGTGGAGGCCCTGGGAGTTTATGGAACTCAGGAACTTGAAATAAAGAAGTACAATTGGGGCCTCCACATAGACTTTGATTTCGACCATCATCAAGACCCAGGCCTTGTGGAAATTCCTCAGCAGTTGCTTATAAGTATGGGAAGAGACTATGGACTGATTGGATTGAATGTTAATGGAATCTTTCGAGACTCGATGACTGACAAAGAGGACTACCAACAAAACCGGCGGAGAGGGACTGAAATAGATTTGAGAGCCTCGGATGTGCGGAATCCAGGCTAAAAACTGTTATTTTGGATATGTTTTGGGAAAGGACGCAAAGCGGGGATGGGAGGGAGGGAAGCATAAACTTAAGCAACACTCAAGACCAGGGGTTTAGCAATAAGGAAATTACTTAAGAAAAAATGAGAAATCGAGGGAAGAGAATTGGGGTCCAACTTAGGGAAAACTTATTTTTTGTTTCTATAAAAGGACTAATATTAAGAAGGAAGAAATGCTAACTTGCTGACACAAACCTGGGAACAGGGATGCAAGGGAGGGGGTGGGGGGAAGTCAAGGAACAGGGTTAGAAAATAAGACTTTTTGGAATTATCCATGTTTGCTGTTGTTTTTTTTTATGTTTGTTTTGGTGTTATGTGTTTTGTTTTTGTCTTTATAAAATGTGAAAACCCAATAAAAATTATTATAAAAAAAAAAAAAAAAAGGAACCTGCACGTCTGATGGGGGGGCTGTGAGCTGAGGGCAGGATGCGGCCTGCATCCCTGGTGAGTTACAGTCAAAGGTCTAGGGTCAGTGGTGCTCAGACCTTTGGGGGCAACTTCCCCCTTGGTTTCATAGACTCCTCCCCAGTGCTCCCTCCCTTATAGAAAGCATTATTCAGAAAAGCAGCTTGCACTAAGATAACAATTCAAAACAGCAACACTTAATCACGTATTTCTTCAAAATCCCTTAAAAAACTATCTAGTTTAATTAATCCAGCAAAACTCATGGACTGTGATCCAGGGATAGTGACTTTTCGAAGCCATTTCTACCTCCAGCACCTCCTGCTGTCACCCCTTGCCTCTTAGAGCCCCCCCAAAAAAAGTATTCCCACAGCTCCCCCCCTCCCCAAGGACCACTAGTGTCCACTTTGGGCACCACTGGTATAGGGGATATATCTGGGGGTAGGGAACCCCCTCTCTGACTGACCCATGAGACTCTCCCCAGGACACACCCTCCCTCCAGGAAGGGGGGAGAAATTCAGTTCACATTTAACAGGTAAAGGTAAAGGTACCCCTGCCCGTACAGGCCAGTCGTGTCTGACTCTAGGGTTGTGCGCCCATCTCACTTAAGAGGCCGGGGGCCAGCGCTGTCCGGAGACACTTCCGGGTCACGTGGCCAGCATGACGAAGCTGCTCTGGCGAGCCTGCACCAGCGCAGCACACGGAAATGCCATTTACCTTTCCGCTATAAAGAGGTACCTATTTATCTACTTGCACTTAGGGGTGCTTTCGAACTGCTAGGTGGGCAGGAGCTGGGACCGAAAGACGGAGCTCACCCCGCCGCAGGGATTCGAACCGCCGACCATACGATCGGCAAGTCCTAGGCACTGAGGTTTTACCCACAGCGCCACCCGCGTCCCCTTTAACAGGAAAGGTTATCAAATTTGCACCTTCCAAAACAGTATGATAACTGCAACACAGCAGTTCTTCAAAAGCCACCTTTCTCCAGGCAGACAACATTTTAAAAAATGCCTATATTGGGGAAACATGTGCATAAAAATGAGTATTTTAATGAAAATGACATACAAAAGGGCAAGTCACCTGCTGTCATTGTTAGGGGTACAACTCTTGCTTAGGGTGCTTAAGGCGTCCTAAAGACGTTAAAGCAAAGATTATGGGATAATGCACACAGTGACTTGCAAGCTTGATCACTCGCAGTCTGTAGTCCACTGGCAGTAGGAGTACAATATGGGCTTGTTTTTAAGTTACCATCTTACATTTAAAACCCGACAGTACTAAATTATCGAAGGTTATTCACCAAAGCCAGACTAAATGTCTTTCCTGCTGCAGTGCTGGATGGCAGGTTGAGAGGAGTCCCCTACCAGGACAGACTTTGCTCGGGTGCTCAAGACATCGATTCCATAAAACATATTTTGCTGCACTGTGCGAAATACGAGCAGGCCAGGGCTGAACTGATATTACCCTTGCTGGTACCTTTCCCGGGAAAATCAAAGGCTCACTATGTCAGGTTCCTATTGGAAGACCAGACAAACTCTAGAACATTAGCAGTGGCAAAGTTTTTATCAGTGGTTGCAAGAACCAATGATCCCCATCTTTAAGTCTGAACAAAATGCTTGTTTAACCTGGAGGTAGGCTGTATGAATTGTGCATTGCTTTGTAATGATTTGTTGGGTCTCTGGACCGTAATAAAGATTGATTGATTGATTGATTGATTGAGTTATCAAATTTGCACCTTCCAAATAGGTATGATGACTGCAACACAGCAGTTCTTCAAAAGCCACCTTTCTCCAGGCAGTCAACATTTTTAAAAATGCCTATACTGGGGAAACATGTGCATAAAAATGAGTATTTTAGTGAAAATGACGTACAAAAGGGCAAGTCGCCTGCTGTCATTGTTAGGGGTACAACTCTTGCTTGGGGTGCAAGACGGAATGCCAGCCAAGCTGCTGAGAATCCTGGATTTGGGGAGGAGATGGCTGTTGCTCAGGGGCACAGCCCAGACTTCATATGCAGAAGGTCGTCTTGGCTGCATGCCAGATTAGGAGGCAGTCGCAGCCATGGGGCTCAGTGGTCTGACTGAGTTCAAGGCAGCTTGATATATTTGTGTGTTGGAACATGGAGCCCAGGAAAATTAGGACAGGGATCATCCGTCTGGCACATATGAAGTGTGGGGCATTTTCCATCCCAACAGTTTCAGATAATTTCCATGCAGGGAAAGCCCACCACAAAACCATTTATCAGCATTTAAACTCCACCTTGAAGTAAAATGGGATCGCTGGAGCTCTTTCACCCCCTGATCCTTCTGGGGGGAATCTGCATGGATGTGCTTGGAGCAAAATAGGCTTCGCGGGGGAAATGATGCAAGACAACATTATCCAAGGCCCTTTTTCATGTGCTCCACCCCACAAGGGGACTGGGGGGTGGGCAACAACATGAGAACTGGCCTTTTCTGCAGTGGCTCCCCTGCGGAATGCTCTCCCCAGTGAAGCCCACTTGGCCGCTTCCTTACATTTATTCAGGCACCAAGTTAAAATGTCTCTCTCCAACCAGGCCTTTGGCTAAATAAACAATCTATAGCCTCCCTCTGGCAGGGGAGGGTTATTGTTTTGGCTGTTATTGTCTTGTGTATTTTTGTGTTTTTATAGTATAAACTGTCCTGTGTTTCTCAGATGAAGTGTGATGAAAGAAAGAAAGAAAGAAAGAAAGAAAGAAAGAAAGAAAGAAAGAAAGAAAGAAAGAAAATACATTTGAAACAGAGAAAGAAAAATTAACCAGAGAAATGAGTGGTCCAAGCCCACAGCCAATAATGGACCCCAGTCCAAAGCAGCAGCTCCCAGGCTTCTAGTCCCTATGGAATTGGCTTTGGGCTTTTATAGAAAGAAAGGCAGGAAATCTAAAGGATGGCAGTCTTGAGAAACCGGAGGAGAGAGAAAATCCCTCCATCTCACTCTGATGGAAACTCCCCAAGACTTTACAGAAATGTATTGTTCTCCAACAATACCCATGTTCCGCACTCCCCAGGGGTGGGAAGTCCAATGATCTGGGCAACAGAATTCTGCTTCCTCTGTATGTGGAAACCCCCACAATAGGGCTGGGTGGTGCCTGGTGGAGCTGGCCAGGATTCTTGCAGGGGAGAAGGACCATGACCGTTAAAGTGGTTTCTGGGTGCTTCAAACGTATGGCATGGATATGACCATTGTGTCAGAGCAAGTGTTTCCCCAGTTTCTAGTGCATTGCTCCCATCACTTTCTTTTGGGGAACACAAGAACATAACAGCCTGCTGGATCAGACCAAAGATGGCCCCAGTGGCAGAGGAACCCTCTCCGGCATCCGGGGAGGGGTGGGGCAGGGCAAACCACTCGGTGACACACACACAACATCCATACAAAGTGCGCATGTGCGGCAGCCCACCATGCATGCACACTCCGTACAGGATGCCGCTGGCACAGCAACCATATGGACTGCCGCGCAAGTGGCATCCCATATGGAGTGTGCACACGCAGCATCCCATATGGATCCCTTGGCCGCTCTACAGCTGGGGGGGAGGCAGGGGCCATCTTATCACCACCACCCCAGAGTGGCACCCGGGGCGGCCCACTCCCTCTGCCCCCCACTTCATACGCCCCTGGATGGCCCCTCTAGTCCAGCATCCTATTCTCACAGTAGCCAACCAGGAGTTCCTTGTGAGAAACCCCCAAGCAGAATTTGAGCCCAAGATTCCTCTCCTCTCCTGTGGTTTCCAGCAGCTGGTATCCAGAAGCATTGCTATCTCGAACTGTTGGGAAAGGGCATAGCCGTGAGGGTAGTAGTCATCGATAGCCCTCTGCTCCATGAAAGTGGGTTTGTTGCACAAAACCTCCCAATCAGCTACAATGACAATGTGAAAAGGTGACTTAAAAGCACCCACAGACAGCTAAGAAGCAACACTTTTTCTCCAGTTGATTTTGACAAAACTTTATTTATATATAAAAAAATACATTACTTTTGCTACAATGCAGCTGCAAAGCAAAATACAAATAGTAATGTTAATATGTTAATAACTCCTACTACTTTAAAGTGCATGGGTGGGGAGAAAGTTCATTGCAATTAAGAGGAATGGAGCTTAAAAGCATTTCTTAAAATTGTAGTGCAATGGAGTGTTGTCTCCTTGGCCTGAAAGCAAAGTTACGGAACCATCCCTTGCTAAGCCAAAAAGGAACACTCTTAAATTTCACAGTTTACGCTTGAGGGGAGTCGTGCGCAGATGGTGACTCGACAGTGGCGCAAAGCAAAGGCAAGCAGGCAGAGGGCACAGATTAGACCTCATCCAGAAACTGGCCTCCTTGCTCCTGGTGACAAGGGAGTCACCAAAAGCCATTTGCTATGCAGAGGGGGCTTTCGGGGGCTTTTGCATTTCTCAGTTTCATTTTTTCCTGCATTCCTAAGTTTTTCAGTCTTAAAGTTCAGTTTGCTACATTTCTACATCACTTTGCAATTATTTTTTTTAAGTCTGCATGAAAATTTATCAACTTTTTAGCCTGCATTTCATAGAACTTTCACTGGAAGTGACCCAAATGCTCATCTATGGCAGTCCGGAACATTGCAAACATCTACATTCCTCCACAGATTGACATTTTTTGCAAGCTAATTTCCCTAGCATAACAGAGTTTTTGGGTATGCCATCTTCACCACGCTTTCCCCCCAAAGAGACACTGTCTTTGGTTGGAGAACTGCGCTGCAAAATTTGGAGAAGTGCAAACTTCCAAGGACAGCTGTTTGGGGAAGTGTGAACGAGGTAGGTTTGCGTTTAAGGCAAAGCGAATCAAACGTCCCCCGCTAACGCTCCCCCGGCAAAGTTGCTGCTCTCAAAACTAATCTGCTGGGGAAGGTTTTCCCAACCTGTCAGGATGCTGCTGCCTGCACCTGTGGCAGAGGCGGCCAGCAGCCTCGCTTGGCAACTGCTGCCCATGCAATAACCTTCCTTGTTTAGCTACAACCCAACTGCAAAACCCTTCAGTCGGTAGCTTTCAAGTCTCATTGGTTATGACATCAAGGAAAGCATACTTGGAATATATATGCAAGATTAAATATTTTGGTTTTTTGCTGATGTAACTGAAGGCACAAAACAGGAATAAGTAATCTGTGCCCCCCCATTTTTTGTTTATTCCTTTTATCGTTTACACCCCACCTTTCATTTAAGGGGCCGTACACAGTTCCCCTCCAACCTGTTTTATCCTCACAGCAACCCTGTGGGGTAGGTTAGCGACAGAGATACTGTGACTGTCTCAAGATCACACCCAGCGAGAGCTTGATGGCAGAGCAGGGAATTCAAACCTTGGTCTCTCCCAGGTCCTAGTTTGACAGTATAACCACAACACCACACTGGTTCTGGTTTGGAAGAGAGAGAGAATATATGCAGTAGTTTGTATTTAGATAAACACATAAATGTGGATTCCCCGCTCCCCAAAACTGGCTAGAACAGAGATAAGGGGGACTAATGTGGGGGTTGAAATGAAATAGACTCATTTGCCCATCTCTTGGAGGTGTTGCTGGCAGCTAACCAGCCAGCCAGCCAGCAGAGAAGACCAAGACAGGAAACAGACGTCTGCCTTACTCTGTAATCAGCCACCAAACCATGTTGCTCAGCATCATCTCAGCCACCGGCTGCAGCTCTCTAAGGTTTCAGAAGGCAGGAGCCTCTTTTCTTTTTAATGCCAGCAATTGCAGCCTGAGCTCCCCCAGCCATGACGCTGCTTCCTCACAAGGAAGAAGAAAAACAGACCCACATCCAGATTGCTGGTTTACTCAGAAGCACATGTACACAATATAAGAGGTAGAACTCAGCCTTGTGAACACCCTGGGATCTCCCTCTTTCTTCTCTATATGAACTGACTTCCAGAAATTAAGACACACAAAAAATCACCTTCAAAGGCTTTCCAACATCTTTACCTACAAGTGGCCCTGAGGCTTGTTAATTTTGTTCCCCACAAAAAGAGGATCTGATTTTTTAAAGAAAAATATAATAAATAAAAATAAATATCCTTCATCCAGTGAAATCACACAAAGGATTTCCAAACATCTGTGAGTTAACCGGCCAGGAAGCAGGATCAGAAAGGCAGGAAACTGCATTCCCACAGTTTGAGGCAGGAAACTGCGTCCCTGACACCCCACAGCCCAGGCAATTGCACCAACCCATTCTCCACCCTTGCCAGATGGACAAGCATAGAAGCAGGCAAATCTGGGACTAGGCAGGACAGACCAGGTGGTGGCCTCTTGACAGGCCAGTGGTCCATTGCCAGTTGACCACTTACTGCTAATGGAGAATCTTCCAAATGCTAGACTAGGTGGCTCTTCATCTGAACCTACAGGATGTTTCTTTGATCTTGGTGCATATTGGGGATGCCCTGATATACATTATTATGCCTTATAACTGTTCAGAGATCCTGAGTATGTATCGTTGCATGGAAAATGTCAGAAACATCAAAAGAACATTCAGAACGCCAGTTATTTAAAAAAAGATGCAGAAGACCGTCAAGTCTTATAAACCTTGGGCCTGAAAGTTTGCTCTCCAATCTGAGGAAACTTTTATTTAGCACATGAGCTCTGTGTTGGGTCCTGATGCCTGCCTTTGAAGAAGCCTGACGTGGACCTTCACCAGCCCCCCTGGGCCAGCTCAGCCATACCCTCTGCCCCATTAGCTGCCCCATGCATTGTTGTTTGCACTGGTTCTACTTCATCACCCAGATGTTCATATCATCATGTTCATTTTGGCAGGACCCATCCTGCTCAAGATTTCAGGATCTTGGTGCTTCTGCAGACAGAACAGCCACCAACCTCTCCTTCATTCTGCTATCAACTATGCACCACCAGGTTGCCACTTCTCTAGGCAAGTGGAGAATAGGTGGCTTCTAAGCCCAAGGGAAGAATTATATCTATTGAGGGACCCACTTCTGAGATGGAACAAGACAAACTAGAAAGAGGTACAGTTTGGTCACTTGTGCTGGTAGGCAGTCAGAAGGACAAGTCCTCAATGGGTGAGCAAGACAACTGCCGCCATATGCAACAGTCCTAGCCAGAGGGACAAAGATGTTTGGGTGGCCCAGTCCTTTGCCATCTTATTCCTGGGCTCCTCAAGCAGCATCTTCACATTGGAGGGCTTTGTCAGGCATTCTGTCACAAGGGTCTGGTTAAACCAATCCTCCTGGGAAACGCAGGAATAAGTGCCATAGAGCTCGTCCGTCATATTGTCTATGAAGTGGATGCAGTGCCGATGGCCAGGTCCACAATGCGCAACCGTTTGGTTGTCACGGAGCCAAGTGTAAGTGGCATGGTGGGATTTGATAGAGCAGTTGAGGTAATAGCGGGTGCCGGGTGCCACGGTCACAATCTCACAGTTGTCATCACCTGGACAGGAAGGAAGAGCAGATGGTGAGAGAGTGTGTGTGAGAGAGAGATTGAGAGATCACCCTTTGCACACCCCGGTGTGGAACAGCAACCGTCAGGAGGCCTTTGTGGTGCTTGTGGTGTCATGATGGGACCAAGTTTGACTGAAAATCCCTAGCTACTGAATCACAGTGCATTATTCCTGCTCAAGAGATCCATCTCCTTGCTCGCCAGCTGTTGGTGAACGTAAGAGCGCTGCTAGATGTTGTGCTGATGGCCTTTGGGTCCCTAAATCAGCCTCCTGCAACCTGATGGACTACAAATCCCACCAGACTCAGCCAGCACGCGCAATGGTCAAGATCAGGGACCACCGCTAGCCCAACGGGCAGGTTGCTATTGTTTAGCAAGGCCAATGCTGATCAAAAGGGGCATCATCCATACTTGGACTAGGTGGCCAACTGGTTTCCCTCCAAATCTAAGGCAGGACTGAGGGAACCTGTGGCCCTCCAAAAGCTGCTGGACTCCAGCTCCCATCTGCCCCAGCCAGAACGGCCAATGGTCGAGGTGATGGGAGCTGAGGTCCAGCAGCATCTGGAGGGCTGCATGGCTCCACGTTCCTGATCTTCAAGAAGGGCAAGAAAATGCTTTATTTGCAAACATTACCTTTAGCGTGGCTTGGAGATGAGCAAATATCCGTAACAGGATTGTGTGTTAGAGCCTGTAGCAATGTGCTAAAAGAGAGAGAGAGAATTAGAATGTAAGGAGAGCCCAAGAACTCACAAGGTGTCAGTGTTGACACTTTATTCAAAGAAACAAAGAGAGCTCAGGTTTAGTGAGCACAGCAACTCTTCCCCGTAGGTTTTTATCCATGCAGGCACTTGCATAAAATGGGGAGGAAGAGGGTCATGGACACCACCTTGAGCTTTTTGGAGGAAAAAGTGGTACATAAATGTATTTAAGTACCAAATACATTTTTAATGCTTCGCCAAGGGTTCCCTGCAAGCAGAAAGCTAGCTCAGCAGCAACAAGGTGGGGCTAGAACGTCTCGTCCTGAGATGATCACTTTCTGCATGCATGCAGGAAGGTGTCATCCAGAAGTGTACTCAAATGCTTTGTCACCTTGCTCTGCCACAAGTCTGTATGCGCCAGAGAGCATGTAGATATAGAACGTGCAACTGTCAACAGTAGAAATGAAGGGGGAGGAGGGTCCTACCCATTTCCATGCTGGTCATGGTCATAAACAGAAGTGCATCTCCCGTTGATCCATCCGCAGTCAGGATCCCTCGCCAGGATGCAGCTCTCACAGCTGTCCTTATATGCCCCACACATAGCCATGGGCAGCTGAACCACCTCACTCTCAGAGGCTACAAACAGCTCCTTCTGCAAGATAAAATAAAGCAACAGCTGCACCGAGCTCTTTCCAAACAGCAGGCAAAGAGATGAGTCGTGCATATTCTTGAAGGGCATCATGGACTAGCCTATCTGTACCCAGTAAATGAGTAACATCAGTCTAACAGGAAAAGCAACAGCCACTGAGTGACGCACAGGAATTGCTCCTACTTTTGCAGAGGAACAGGGGACTGAAGGGGATTCCTCTTGCACGCCAGTGTATTCAAGGAGCAGAGGGTTGTCAATGGCTCCTAGTCAGGATGGCTCTGCTCTGCCACCACAGCTGGGAGGGGCTCTAGGGCTCAAGTCCCACTTGTCAAGGGCTTCCCATAATGGGCACCTGCTTGGCCACTGCAAGAAGAGGAGGCTGGACTAGGCGGGCCATTGGCCTGATTCAGCAGGACTCCTCTTATGTCACCCCTAGAACAGATTCTCCCCGTGTTCAGAAAAAAAGAGCATGAGACAGTCTCAAGGTTGTGGGTTTGGGCCCCACACTGGGCAAAAAGATTCCTGCATTGCAGAGTGTTGGCCTAGACAATCCCTGTGGTCCCTTCCAACACTAGCATTCAATAATAATAATAATAATAATAATAATAATAATAATAATAATAATAATAATAATAATGTTATTATTTATACCCCGCCCATCTGGCTGGGTTTCCCCAGCCACTCTGGGCAGCTTCCAACCAAATATCGGAAACAATACAGCGTCAGACATTAAAAACTTCCCTAAACAGGGCCGCCTTCACTTGTCTTTTAAAAGTAAAATAGTTGCTTATTGTTTTGACATCTGCTGGGAGGGCGTTCCACAGGGCAGGCGCCACTATCAAGAAGGCCCTCTGCCTGGTTCCCTGTAGCCTCACTTCTCGCAATGAGGGAACCGCCAGAAGGCCCTCGGCATTGGACCTCAGTGTCTGGGCAGAACGATGGGGGTGGAGACGCTCCTTCAGGTATACTGGACTGAGGCCATTTAGGGCTTTAAAGGTCAGCACCAACACTTTGAATTGTGCTCGGAAACGTACTGGGAGCCAATGCAGATCTCTCAGGACTGGTGTTACGTGTTTCTGGAGGCCGCTCCCAGTCACCAGTCTAGCTGCCGCATTCTGGATTAATTTCAGTTTCTGAGTCACCTTCAAAGGTAGCCCCACATAGAGCGCATTGCTGTAATCTAAGCGGGAGATAACCAGAGGATGCACTACTCTGACAAGACAGTCTGCGGGCAGGTAGGGTCTAAGCCTGCGTACCAGATGGAGCTGGTAAACAGCTGCCCTGGACACAGAATCAACCTGTGCCTCCATGGACAGCTGTGAGTCCAAAATGACTCCCAGGCTGCGCACCTGGTCCTTCAGGGGCACAGTTACCCCATTCATAACCAGGGAGTCCCCCACACCAGCCCGCCCCCTGTCCCCCAAAAACAGTACTTCTGTCTTGTCAGGATTCAACCTCAATCCAATCTATGATATCTGCATGTGCATTCTGAGATGAGGCCCTTCCAGGCCATAGAGAAAAAGCGGGATGGCACTTTTCAGATCCTTTGCACATTTTTTGATCCAGCCACTGCTGTTCTGCCATGGCCTGGTGGGTCAGCATCATTCCAGCAACCCAGTATGGAAAAAGTCAGGGAGGCCTGTAGTTTGCAATCAAATGGTCTAGAACTTTGATGAAATAAAGCCTGGAGCAGACAAAGGGAAAAGATGGGAGGTTCTTCCTTACTCTCTCACTGTCCAGAGTCATGGTCCGAACGCCAGCAGGAGAGAGGAAAGGCTGGATCTCCAGGACGCTGTTGGCCCCCGTGGGCAAGACAGCAACTTTGTGGACGGTTCCTTTGTCTGCGTAAAAGGGCAGAAGAAAAGGTTGGGAAGCTGGAAGGAGGTAACGGGAATGTGGGAAATGATGCTGGTTGGACAGAGCAGGGATGAAGGCTGTAAGGTAAGACCTGTAGTCCTCCGGATGTGACCCAAGGAGACTTAGGTTCAAATCCTGACCCAGTACTGCTTTGGGCTGGTTGCTCCTCAGCCTGAGCGGAGGGAGACCTGTGGTCCCCAGATGTCACTGGGCCCTAATTCTCATCCGCCGACAGCCAACATGGCCCATACAGCCGGGAGTGATGGGTATTGTAGTCAACATCTGGAGGGCTGCAGGTTCCCTCCCATGGCTTCAAAGAAAGGGGCAGTAACTTGCCCAGCAATGCCAAAGGGTAGCGATGCCAAGCAAGGGGCAGCTTTGACCGTACCTGTGGCCAAGTACAGGATGCTGTAGGTGCCTCCATCAGCTGCTGGAGCTCTGTGGACACCAATCTGCTGGTAGCGGTGCTTGCTGTAAAACAAGATGTCTTCCTGCTTCACCCTGCGTGCCACCTCAGGATGGCTGTCGGCCACTTTGAAGGTCTCGTGGGGGGTCTGCTGTTCTCCTTCTAGACACTGTTGGGAGGGACAGATAAGGCCACCAGATTAGGGGTGACAAGAAGGAACTGCAGCCTGCTTGCACCAGCCCTGGATCCTACGAGGCAGAGATGGAGAACCAGTGGCCTCCTCTGGACCACCAGCCACGGCCACCACAGGTCCCAGTCAGGGATGGTGGGAACTGGAGCTCCACAGATGGCCCACCCCTGGCTCTAAGGACCTTTCTGGCTTCTGCCTTGGCAACAGGCACTTCTGCAAGCTTCTCTGAGCCTTGAGCACTAGAAACTTGCTTTCCTTTAAAAAAAAGCTTGCACTGTGTGAGATGCCAGTGATATGGAATTTTTGCCCCAGAAAGCTTCCAAGTTTCTCTTCCCAACCTTTGCTACATAGTGCATAACAGGATTGTACAGTTCTTTTCAAAACTCCCCACCTCCAGATTTAAAGGTCGCCACTACCCATTGTCAGTTACGGGCAAAACTGCAGCAAAAACGGCACAGTCACCAGCTCTCAGTCTCCTTTCAGTTCTGCACGTCTAGTCACCCTTTGACTAGAGCAGGGCTCCCCAAAGTGGCAGGCAGTGATCCCTGCAGGGGAGGGGGGATCCCCTCTCAGGGCACTAAGAGGCACGGGGGCGGCATGAGCTGGGGATTCAAGACTCCTGCTAAGTTACTTTAAACCAGACATTGGGAAACCACATTAAGAACAGTGAAGTTGTGACTAAATGTGGTATCAAAGACTCAATGACTCAATGCTCAATGACTATCAGACTTTGAAAAGTTGGTATACCTGGACCAAGGTCATTCATTTCGTTCAATTAATTGTTTTTGTTGGATTTTGAATAAATGTGCAATTAACTGTGACTGTTCTTAACTGGGTTATTATCTTCTTTAGTGGCCCATGCAAACTGCTATGCTGAATAATGCTTTTTGGAGGGGAGAGGCGGAAATGGGGAGGAGTTCGTGGAACCAAGGGAGCAGTGGCCCCAAAAACTTTGAGAACCACTTGGCTGGAGGATAAATCCAACAAGAGAAGCAAATTTGCATCCCTTACCTGCCCAGGCCTCACAGGGGGGAGTTTCTCGTGGTAGTCTTTGAGAGGCGAAGTTCGGAAGACCTTACTGATGTCACCAACAGAATAGACACAGACTGCGGAATATTCCCTGGGGATAATCATAAGAAGCAAGGGATCAGATTTATTTTTTTATTTCTCTGCTTTTCTGTCAGCACAACTACCAAAGCAGCTTATGGGAAGAAAAATGACCGTGTTAAAAACACACTAGTGAGAACACAAGTGTTTCACCAGTGACTATGATAATCTCTTAATACATCAGATCAAGCTGGTTGAAATGTTCACAAGTTTTCAGAAGCCACATTTTAAAAGGAGGGACGCAGGTGGCGCTGTGGTCTAAACCACTGAGCTTGCCAATCAGAAATCCCTGCGATGGGGTGAGCTCCTGTTGCTCGGTCCCTGCTCCTGCCAACCTAGCAGTTCAAAAGCACGAAGTGCAAGTAGATAAATAGGTACCGCTCTGGCGGGAAGGGAAACGGCGTTTCCGTGCGCTGCTCTGGTTTGCCAGAAGCGGCTTAGTCATGCTGGCCACATGACCCAGAAAAAGCTCACCCCGTCGCAGGGATTCGAACCGCCGACCTTTTGATTGGCAAGCCCTAGGCTCTGTGGTTTAACCCACAGCGCCACCTGCGTCCCCAGGGCTAAGAGAAAGAAACAAACAAAAAACCCTCCACCGTGTAAATGTGACCTTAGCGTTCATTTGCCCCTCACCACGGAGCAAGGCACTCACCACTCGTTCCAGAAGAGCCCATAGATTCTCGTCTCCGACCAGTTGGCAGACTCCAGGATGAAGACGTCCTGAAGCTGGTTAAAGTGCCGGTCGTTGTCAGAGTCGACACAGAGCAAGGTGGATTTCAGGAAGGTGGTCCACTTGGCAGCCGAGAGGGAGCCAGTGCCTCCTCTGTCTCCCTGTAGAGACAGGAAGGGTGGTCCGGGATTGGCAGCTGGCCAAATGCATGGCAGCACAGCTTCACAGAATCATAGAATAGTGGAGTCGGAAGGGACCTCAAGGGTCATCTAGCCCAACCCCCTGCTATGCAGGAATATGAACTAAAGTAGCCAGGACAGGTGACTGCCCAACGTCTGCTTAAAATCCTCCTAGAAAGCAGAGCTCACCACCTCCCGAGGGAGACCGTTCTACTGTCAAATGGCCCTTGCTATCAGAAAGTTCTTCCTGATGTTTCGTTGGAATTTCCTTTCCTATACAGTGGTACCTCTGGTTAAGAACTTGATTCGTTCCAGAGGTCCATTCTTAACCTGAAACTGTTCTTAACCTGAGGTACCACTTTAGCTAATGGGGCCTCCCGCTGCCGCAGTACCGCCACCGCACCATTTCTGTTCTTATCCTGAGGTAAAGTTCTTAACCCAAGGTACTGCTTCCGGGTTAGCGGAGTCTGTAACCTGAAGCGTTTGTAACCCGAGGTACCACTGCAATTTGAAGCCACTGGTTCAAGTCCTACCCTCCAGAGCAGGAAAAAACAATCTTTGATGTGAAAACCCTTCAGATATTTGAAGATAGCTCTCAGGTCTTCTGTTCTCCAACCCCCTCATCTGTTCCTCATAGGGCTTGGCTTCCACATCCTAATTTGTGTGTGTAGACACATACTTGCACATTTTGCCTCATATCTTAGGTTCTACAAATGCTAGAAACTTAACACTTTTTGAAAAAGATGAAAGCTGGGAATCTGGGGGTTATGGTTCAAGGGGAAGAAAATATTCCCTTTGCCACTCCCCATGGACAACTGTGTGTGTGTGTGTGATCTCAGCTAGATGTGTGTGAATGGCTGAATATAGCCTACCATGAAAAAGTAAGCATTGCGTTCCCCCCTCTGGTTGCTGCTCACCCCCCACCCCCGCCTCTGGCACACACAAACACAGGATGTTGCCCATGAGAGGATTGGGCCCTCAGGCTAAAAACGGCCCTAAAGTAACCACAGCTACTTCTTCCCAAACCACTAGTATTTAGTGCGAGACCCAATGACATGACTTAGCCCAAGGGAGTCCTGCTCATTAACACCAATGAGTCTACTCTGAGTAAGTGGCCCCTGGGGCTGATCTTCAGCTGATCCCACGGCTTCTCATGCAGCACCCAGAGACCCCAGCACAGCCTCCCAGACACCCCCCCACACACACACACCTTGCACAGCTGAGCCACCCTGGAGACGTTCCTTGGGGCGGCTGCGTTCTTCGGCCAGTCGGGGTTTTCTTCTCGGAAGAAGTAGTAGATCTTGTCATTGTAAGCCTCCTCTTGTTTTATGATGGCAGCCTTCACAAACTTCGGATCTGCAGGCGGACAAGACAGAGCAACCGTGAGGCAGGAAGGAACTAAGGGCGTTCAGCTAGGGCAGTCTGGGCAGAAGAGACATCTTAAGAGCATAGGAGTCACCTGCGGGATCAGGCCCATGGCTCATTCAATTTCCGTACGTTCAGTACGTTCAGTACATTCTGTACGTTTCCGAGCACAATTCAAAGTGTTGGTGCTGACCTTGAAAGCCCTAAACGGCCTCAGCCCAGTATACCTGAAGGAGCGTCTCCACCCCCATCGTTCTGCCCGGACACTGAGGTCCAGCACTGAGGGCCTTCTGACGGTTCCCTCGCTGTGAGAAGCCAAGTTACAGGGAACCAGGCAGAGGGCCTTCTCGGTAGTGGCACCCGCCCTGTGGAACGCCCTCCCACCAGATGTCAAAGAGAAGAACAATTACCAGACTTTTAGAAGACATCTGAAGGCGGCCCTGTTTAGGGAAGCTTTTAATGTTTAATAGACTACTGTATTTTAATACTTTGTTGGAAGCCGCCCAGAGTGGCTGGGGAAACCCAGCCAGATGGGGGGGGGGTATAAATAAATTAATAATAATAATAATAATAATAATAATAATAATAATAATAATAATAATAATAATAATAATATAGCATTGCTGCCTCCAATTGTGGAAGCAGAGAAGAGCCATTGTGAATGGTAGCCATGGACAGCCTTCTCCTCCTGCTCCATAATGCTGTCCAGTCCTCTTTCAAAGCCATCCAAGCTGGTGATCATTGCTGCCTCCTGTGTAAGGGAGTTCCATAGTTTAACTCTGTGCTGTGGGAAGAAGCCCTTTCTGAATCTCCCAACATCTGGCTTCACTGGATGCCAGTGAGTTCTAGTGTTACGAAAAGAGGGGTGAAAGCTTTTCTGTGCCCACTTTCCCCATGACAGGCATAACGTTACAAACTTCTATCGCGTCGCCTCTCCCTCTCCTTTTCTCCAACCTAAAAAGTCCTAAACGCTGCAACTTTTCTTCATGGGGAGTCGCTCCACCATGACAAACTGGAACGTGTCCAGAGGAGGGCAACCAAAATGGTCAAAGGCCTGGAAACGATGCCTTATGAGGAACGGCTAAGGGAGCTGGGCATGTTTAGCCTGGAGAAGAGGAGGTTAAGGGGTGATATGATAGCCATGTACAAATATATAAAAGGATGTCACATAGAGGAGGGAGAAAGGTTGTTTTCTGCTGCTCCAGAGAAGCGGACACGGAGCAATGGATCCAAACTACAAGAAAGAAGATTCCACCTAAACATTAGGAAGAACTTCCTGACAGTAAGAGCTGTTCGACAGTGGAATTTGCTGCCAAGGAGTGTGGTGGAGTCTCCTTCCTTTGGAGGTCTTTAAGCAGAGGCTTGACAACCATATGTCAGGAGTGCTCTGGTGGTGTTTCCTGCTTGGCAGGGGGTTGGACTCGATGGCCCTTGTGGTCTCTTCCAACTCTATGATTCTATGATTTTGGCTGCCCTTTTCTGAACGTTTCGTTTCATGGCTCCCCCCGAAGAGTCCTGGGTACTGTAGTTTGCTAAAGGTGCTGCGAGGGTTGTTCGGAGACCCCTCACAGAGCTCAGCACCGATGAACACATGCAGTTCTCAGATACACAAGGGCACCCACCTTAACAATGAACAGAGTATGTGGGGAAATGGCAATTTCTCACTACAGTGAGGCTGAGGCGACTATTTCTCACAAGTTAATGATCAAGGCCAGTGTGGCCTAGTGGTTAGACTGTCAGATTGGGACCTGGGTGACCAGGGTTCAAATCCCTACTTGGCCATGAAGCTCACGGGGCGTCACCTTCGACCAGTCACTCACTCTCAGCCTAACCAACCTCACAGGGCTGTTGTGAAGATAAAATGGGAAGGAGGAAAACAGTGTAAGCCACCTGGAGCTCCTTAGAGGAGAGGTGAAATACAAATGTGAGAGAGGAGGCGAAGGAGGCAGCATAGACAACCCAAACAGATGGAGCCAGTGGAAGCTGCAACAAAATGTTGCCGCATGGAGTGTCCATGGGGTGCCGTTCCATGCTGTCTCCTACACATGCAGGGCCATCTTAAGCATATCCGGCGCCGTTGTGTAAAGATCCCTCTGGTGCGGCCCGCCCGGCAACTCCAAAACAAGGGAGGGGGCAGTGGAAAATGTCCTCTGCCACCCCCACTGCCCCAATCCCTGGCATGGTGATGGCGATTAAGCAGGAAAATGTGCTGGTGGGCATGATCTCTGGTGTTGGGGCGCCCGAGAAGGCAGACTGGGAAGGCTGCACACCGCCTTTCGCTAGGAAGCAGGAGAACAACGACCCTGTCGTTAGCAGATGCAGAAACTTGGGAAGAAAGCTGCACGCCCGCCAGCCATATAGTTGGTGGGGCACAGCTGGCGGGCGTGCAGGGAAAGGGGAGCCTGCCAGCAAAGCCACGCAGCTCCCCGACTCGCTAGGGCACCCCTGAGAGGCCAGTGCCCTGGCGCAACGAACCACTAAGACCAATGCTCTGCTCCTACCCAACCTAGCTAGCCAATCAGCACTCGTTGCCTCTGAGCATGCTCAGTCCTCATCAGGCTCATTTTGGGGGAGAAGGGTGTTTCCCTCTCCCTCAGAATTGCCCCCCTCCCAATATATGTTGTGCTTCTGCAACTCCCAGAATTCCCCAGGCCTGCAAACATCTCCCTGTCATGGGCGGATGTGGCTACCTAACAACCCACCTGGGAGAACTGAGATCACTCTTTTTGCTGCCATGACGCAGGTGTCCCCACAGAGGAGAAAGCCTCACCTGTGTTGTGTACTGGAAATGCCCCTGGCAACCCCCTCACTCCCTACGTGATCTCAGAGGGGAAAGGTCCTCCACAGGGATCCGCTGAGCGGAACACTAACGTCACCTGAGGCTCACTGTGGCGGATCCTCCTGGCACTGGGGGAACTCTGCCTCCGTGACGCTCCTGGCACAAGAGGCACCCTCTGTGCTGTTATCACCTGCTCTGAGCCGCTCCCTCTGGGGCAAGGGTTGTGTTGGTTTTAACGCGGCAACTTCCTCCTCTCCCTTGGCCGTGATGCTCAGTTTCCAAGCAGGGAAGCCCTGAAAATCTCCGGGTTTTCCTCCCGCCTCCCATGAACAGGTTTGTTGTGTTAACACCTCGTAAGGCTTGTTCATTATGCCCCATGCAGGTGTAACTTCAAGGTGTCTCTACACGGGTGCAAATGCTTGTGTAAAAGAGCACGCACTGTTGATTTGCACAGCTGAGTTCTTGCATATGCAGACTTGCTGCAGGGTACCTGCGAATCACCCTACAGCTCAACTATTGGGGTACACAGAAGGGCACAGGAAGTACCCTTGTTGGATCAGTGTAATGTGTGAATGCCCCTATGGAAAGGGCTCCAGTTCTAGGCAGCCGGTTCATAGACTCACAGAACTGCAGAGTCAGAAGGGATCCCAAGGGTCATCTAGCCCAACCCCCTGTTATGCTAAAATCACAGCTAAGAACTAAAACCAACTCCAGGTTTGAGAAGGATTCTCCATGAAATGTCCTCTGAGGGGACCCTCTCAGAGCTCCTCTGGCCCAAATGGCAGGCAGTGGCAACACTCCGAATGAGTCTGGGCAGCTGGGAGCTGCCATTTTAACACCCTACAATGCCCCTGGGGTGGTGTCACTGGGAAAGGTTTCAGGGGCAGCTACCAGGCACTTTTGGAAAAGTTAAGGGGCTGCAGTTGGCCAAGAATACAGGATGCCAGTGCCGACCCTGACTCGCTCTTTACCAACTGGGCTGAACCCAGAGGGCTGAACTCCCATCATCCCCAATGAATTCGGTCAATGGTCAAAGGGGGGAGTGGCAGCTGGAGTCCAGTCACACCTGGAAGGCCACAAGACGCACATCCTGAATTTCAACTAGAGAAGGCAGGTTAAATGCTCTGAAGCCTTGACAACACCCTGCTACTGTTGAGTGGCCATATTAAGTCAAGTGTCCCTCAACCATCTCGTGGGTGTGCTGCTGGAAGACAAGGGAGAGGCTGAGCAATCTGGGGAGCCCCCTCCGTCGGGGAGACTGGGGACCCCTCCCATTCCTTCAAGACCTGCCACACTCACTATTCATGACGGTGTCGCTGGTATAGAGCTCCGTATATCCTCGAATCCGACGGAAGCGAGGTGTCCGCCCATTGTACTGGTGCTTTCTGATGGTAGAGTAGATGTCCTTGCCTGCGAGAAAAGGAAGAGAGTCCACTGGTAAAGAGGAATGCAAAAAGCAATGAGAATGTCAGGCCACGACTTGAGATGCAGTGAACTGGAGTCACCGCTTTTCAAATTTGGAAAACTGCACTTCCCACAATTTATTCAACAAGACTGATAGGGGGGATAATATATACAAATATAAATGTATTTATTTTAAATTAATAACGATATATTTTTTTAAAAAAAGACTGATGGGGAGGGGACAAACAAACAAGAGATGAGGACCCACAGCTGCCAATTGCTTGAAATTCTCCAAGTTTGCTTGTGATCAAGTGTGAAATGGGATGCAATCCAGCAGATCTTGTTTAACCTTTGAAAGGGCTGTGGGAAGTATACCTGTATGTGTATCCACACACACAAAACACGAAATTCATTCTTATGCAGCCTTAAACTGCTTGTAAATCACTTTTTATACATTTTCATTGCTTTTGAGAGTTCCTGAAAAAACAGCACATGCCCCCTAATTGGCTGTAGCTGCCCATAATGTAAATTTAAATTGTGGTTTATTTTATTGTTACAGTGGTACCTCGGGTTAAGTACTTAATTCGTTCCGGAGGTCCGTACTTAACCTGAAACTGTTCTTAACCTGAAGCACCACTTTAGCTAATGGGGCCTCCTGCTGTTGCTGCGCTGCCAGAGCATGATTTCTGTTCTCATCCTGAAGCAAAGTTCTTAACCTGAAGCACTATTTCTGGGTTAGCGGAGTCTGTAACCTGAAACATATGTAACCTGAAGCGTATGTAACCCGAGGTACCACTGTATTATTATTGGAGAGGCCTGCCAGTAATGCTGTACTGTTTTTAACACTGATTGGGAGCCGCCCAGAGTGGCTGGGGAAACTCAGCCAGATGGGCGGGGTATAAATAATAAATTATTATTATTATTATTGCCACGCCATCGAGAATGTAGGGCCCGAACTCTGGGTTTGCACAGCACATCAGCTCGGGGGGAGGAGAATGGAACTCGGGTGAGAGGCCTGGCTGCGTGTCCCTGCTGGGACCAGAAATTCATTCAGCATTAATGCAGGAAAGCTTACCATCGATGAGGACAAGAGCGTTTTGATCAAGGGCAAAAGGAGCCAGGCCCTGGGCACTGATCCCTGGCTCCACCTTCCCATCTACCTGCAGGAGGAGGGAAAAGAGAAGTTCAGCAGATATTTCGCACCTTTCCAGGGTCTCACCAATACGGGGAGAGTGAGAGAGACACAACTTTCAAACTCCCCTTTTCTCACACCCATGACTTTGGTGGCAGTGGTGAAAGTGTCATCTGCATACCCTGGGGATGGACAAAGGCAAAAGGGCGGATCCTGCCCCCCGAGGGATATGCAATCCAGAAGAACAGCACAAGGGAGCAAACATAGCAAGGGAAGAGGAAATAGGAGGAAGAAGATGCAATCATTGCCAACATCGCCCAGCTAGAGCAAAGAAGCCTTCCCACAGACACATCTCCCATCAGCCCCAGCCAAGCCAGTGGTCAGGGATCAGGACATAAGAAGAGGCTTGCTGGATCAGGCCCACAGGGAAGGCTCAGGTAGGGTGACCGGCAGCGATGTCTCAGGCTTAAAGAGCAGAGGGGCAAGGAGAAACTGCGTACCAAATACCAGCAGGTGGGGCTGCAGGCGTTTGTGCCACAGACCAGCAACTGGTCCTCATATTTTTCCAGAAGTGTGAGATAGTTCTTGGCATTTTCCTGGAAGAGAAGTGAAGGCGGTTAAGGTGAAGAATCATAGAACTGTACAGTTGGAAGGGACCCCAAAGGCCATTTGGTCCACCCACGCTATGATGAAGAGGACCAGAAAACGACCCCCAACCACCCACTCCCATCCTGGAGATCCCACCAACAAGACAGACTCTGTCTCCCCAAGGCCTGCACAGAAGGACCTCCTAATTTTAAGGTAGGGATGGGGAACCCCAGGCCCGGGGGCCAAAAGTGGCTTTTGAAACTCTCCCCCAGGCCGCCCCCTCACAGGGCCTGCGTCACACTCTCCTGTAGTGGTTTTGCCCATCCAGACTCTGTCCTTGAACTCTTCTCTTTTTTGCCACTCGCTTGTCAGGTTATAGGTCAGAGAGGGCTGTGTGTACAAACCAGCTTACTACACAAGGGCAAAATCTGCACTCTGCTCACTTTTGCCTGCCACTGGCATCTGGCCCCTGGAACGTCATCCAGAAGGGAGTGTGGCCCTTGGGCTGAGAAAGACCTCTGCCTTGTGGCTGTCAAATCCACATTTAGTCCAAGCATCCGCAGATCTAGCAGAGGGACAGAAACTCTTTGCGAGTTTCTGAGCTGCAAAGTATCAGGCCAAGGAGAAGAGAGGAAGGGGAACCTCCCATGGCGTGAGAATGAAGAACGTCACAGCACCTGGCCCCTTCTGAATGCAAAGCACCTGCTCTGTCACTGAGCTCTGGGCCCAATCCACCTGCTGAATCATTCAGCGCAGAAGGAGAACCCCTTTCTAGAGGTGGTGGGGGATTAGCTGCAGCAATTCCTCCAAACATCTATGTTTTATATTGTTGTAAACCTCTTCGCGGGCGGCACTGTGGGTTCACTTGCTGATCAGAAGGCTGGCACTTCAAAACCCTGTGATGGGGTGAGCTCCCGTTGCTCGGTCCCTGCTCCTGCCAACCTAGCAGTTCAAAAGCACGTCAAAGTGCAAGTAGATAAATAGGTACTGCTCCAGCGGGAAAGTAAACGGCGTTTCCGTGCGCTGGTCTGGTTCGCCAGAAGCGGCTTAGTCATGCTGGCCACATGACCCGGAAGCTGTATGCTGGCTCCCTTGGCCAATAAAGCGAGATGTGCACCGCAACCCCAGAGTTGGCCACGACTGGACCTAATGGTCAGGGGTCCCTTTACCTTTACCTTTTAAACCTCTTCGATATATTTCTATGATACTCTGGGGAAAAATACTTTTATAAACAAACAAGCAAACATACCTGTTTTCTGCAGTTGGACAGCGTCCTGTTGGTTTCAACAAGCACCTGAATGAAAGGGGGAGACAAGACGCCCACGTCATTTGTAGGTCAGCTTGTCTAGGTGCCTAAAAGCTCACGGACTCCGACAACAGAGAAACGGCGGGAGGAAATGCAGAGTGGATTTTAGGCGGCACCTGTAACAGGTGCCACAGCTCCACAGATCAAAGTGACTGAGGGGGCACAAACAAACTTCTTCTAATAAGAATAACACCCAAAACCTGGCCCAGTAACAAATCGGCTACCCGCACAGATCTCTGAGCAGAGGAGCAATATGCTGGCGGGGTCTCACCCGGGTCAGCACCCAGGCTGAAGCATTCTGAACTCACTATAGCTTCCGGATCAAACGTGATGGAAGTCCCACAAAGACTGCACTGCCATCATCCAGTTTTGAAAGACATGATATTAGGAAGTATTTTCTGAGGGTAAGAGACATTCAACAGCAGAACGGACTTCCTCAAAAGGTGGTGGAGATCTTTAGGCAGAGGTCAGATGGCCATCTGCCAGAGATTCTTCGACAAGATTATTAATGTGTTCCCTTCCAACGCTACAATTCTATGATTGCTGCTGGGACTGGGGTTGGGTTCAAGGTCCAGGCTGTTCCCCTGGATAGGGAACCTGACAGTCTAGGGGAGGAGAACAGAACAGTGTATCCCCAAAGAGGGCCTGGCTGGCAGCCTGAACTCTGCACTGCCACAGTAGTCCCACTTGTCCTGATGTTTACCATGAGAGCTGGGAAATTATGAGTGCTGGAAAGTTAACAGCTTCTCCATTCCCTGAGGCTACACCAAAGCAATTAATTTGTCACTGAGACTTTGACATTTTTCCAGACCAGCTAGCTCACTGAGGGAACTGATTCTTCCAAGTCTGCAAGAAGAACATTCGTTTGACATGAAACTGACAGGAGAGACCCTTTTCCAAATTTAGGCAAACTTCCAAACGGCTGGATTATTCTGAATTAAAATGGAAACTACAACTCCAAGATCTAATCTGTGCTTAGATGGTGAAGGAGTCTTCTCTGAATAAAATGTAGCTGGAAACAGAGCAGGATTTGAAAAGTTGTTGCCATCTGTCTTCTCTGGAGGTGAAGTCAAACCACTGTGTGAGCAACACCAAAGTGACCTCCTCGGGGCACAGGCCTGGGCTGCCCAGACAAGACCCCCTCTTGGCCTCACTGATGGGGTCCAAAGGAAAGCAGAGCAAGACCTTTGGCACCAGCTTGGCTGCAGGTGTTGCCGGAAGGAGGCGTACGAGGTGCCACCCAACTGTTTTAGGGACTCTGGATTTGTGTCGGCTTTCCTCCTTAGCCTTTTCTTCTCCCAAAGATATCCCACAAGGCAGTAGAAGCTTAGGATCAAAATTTCTTTCTCCTAGATGGGCTACCTTTCCAGGTTGATGAGCCCCATCTGATCCTCACTTCCCTCTACAGCACAGGCAGAAACTGCCTTCTTGACCCACAATTGGTCTCATCTGCTCAGTCTGCCGGAGTCTGTCTTCGCATGCAGCGCAGGTCCCTAGCTCACTGAAGGTTTGAGACTCACTGGCTGCCCTCACCTGGTTTAGCTGGCCAGTCAAAGCCATTTCCTGGGAATGTGGCCGCTGTCACCTGCTGACAGCTTCTAGGAACCACAGGGGAGAGCTGAGTGCAGGGTGGGAACCAAAGGTGGACAAATACCCCAGAAGGAGCACAACGTGTCCCCCACCAGAGGTACTACCCCTCCCCTAACACTCCATTTGAAAAGTAAGTAACCTTTTTCTCATCTCTCAATAGCACCCCAGGCTGCATTTCCTGGGAAACCAGTTGGATGGCTGGTATTCGAGGTTTGGCAAATTGCCCTTCTTGAAAAGGTATCTCATAAACTAAAAGGGCAGAGCTCAAATGACTGGTTTTTTATATATATGACATGATTTTATTCCGTATACAAATATTGAGGCATGTGGTGACTCAGTGCTACCAGTTTACGTGAATATCTGGGAAACCGAAGCCTTTACAGAACCTTTCTTGTCAATGATGATGGAACTCACTGGTGGAAGATGCTTCTGTTTTTATACTTATTATTTGTAAAGTGAATCTTTGTAGGAGTTAATACTTTTCCTTTGGAGCTGCATCTTTGTACTTTGTATATTTCATGGCTTAAATTTCGGATTCTTTCTTTTCCCTTCCTTTTTGTTACATTTCCACTTTTTGTGAATTAAATAAATGAAAAGTTAAAAACAAAAAAGAAATTTGTGAAGTGTTGTCCTCCATCTCCCTACCGTAAAGCTGGTGGAGTTCTCAAAGTTGTAGTAATGAAGCGTGCCGACGGTCCCCACAAAGACCGAAGGGGCCCCTTGTTCATGGTAGAGCACAATGTGGCCCTCCCTGGGATCAAACCGGAATCTCTTCTCACCTACAAAAATACAAAAAGGAAACGGGATTCGACACCGCATTGCCAATTCCGGAGAGGCAGGTTCTGCGGACATTCCACAGAGGAATTGTGCAGCAGTGAGGCATACCTAACCGACTGGTTTTTCCCACCCATAAGAATATAGGAAGCTGAGAACAGAGGAAGCTGGCTCATTTTGAGTCAGACCATTAGCCTAGGGTTACCAGATGTGCCTGGTTCCCGGGGACAGTCCCCAGATTTGCAAATCTGTTCCCGGGAAATGTGGCAGCAGCAGCCTCAACTCTGGCTAGCTGGCTTCAGGAGCTGCTCGCTGCCCGCTGACGTGGCACCCGCCATTTTTCCTTGCCAGAACTTCCGGCGAGGAAAAATGGCAGGCGCCACGGCAGCGGGCAGCAAGCAGCTCCTGAAGCCAGCCAGAGCCAACTGCTCGACCAGGTTGCTGACTGCCGCTGCTGCCGCAACTGCCGAAGGAGAACCAGGGATGTCCGGCGGTACAGGTCTCCTGCCCCCTTCTCCCTTTGTTTTGACTGATCAGGGGACGCTCGGAGTTGCGGGTGCCTGGCTGTTGCCCAGATTTTTAAAAACTCTGTGCATTTATGTTTCACAGGGTGCGAAAGAAGGGCTTTGCACTTTTATACAATATGCATGTGTGCTTGGGCCCATGGTCTTTTGCCTCACCATCCCCACTACTGACTCCCTGTTGCTAAAGGTAAAAGTAAAGGGACCTGTGACCATTAGGTCCAGTCGTGGCCAACTCTGGGGTTGCGGCGCTCATCTCGCTTTATTGGCTGAGGGAGCCAGCGTATAGCTTCCGGGTCATGTGGCCAGCATGACTAAGCCACTTCTGGCGAACCAGAGCAGCGCACAGAAACACCGTTTACCTTCCCACCGGAGCAGTACCTATTTATTTACTTGCACTTTGAGGTGCTTTCAAACTGCTAGGTTGGCAGGAGCAGGGACCGAGCAACAGGAGTTCATCCCGTCGCGGGGATTCAAACCGCCGACTAAGTGTCCCCGGATTCATTGTAAAAAAATCTGGTAACCATACATTAGCCACCTAGTTCACAGCTGTCTGCACTGACTGCCAACAATAGCTCTCCCGGGTTGCAGGCAGGGGTCTCCTCCAGCCAGGGAGGAGAGACCCGTGGCCCTTCCCACGTGGAGCTCCCATCAGCCCCCGTTGACACAGCCAGCGGTCAGGGATGATGACGGGTTGAATCCTCCAACACTGGAAGACCACGGGTCTTTTACACCTTCGGCTGTAACCACTGGTCCTACACTCACCAACCCCCCCCCCAAGCAGCTATATTCCTTGTAAATAAAACCGAGGGAGCAGGGGCATTTCAAGGGAGATCGCTTACTTATTTAACTTGCTCTTATTTATTTATTTATTTATTTATTTATTTATTTATTTATGGGGACAAATAGGTGGTGCCGTGGGTTAAACCACAGAGCCTAGGACTTGCCGATCAGAAGGTCAGTGGTTCGAATCCCAGCAACAGGGTGAGCTCCCGTTGCTCGGTCCCTGCTCCTGCCAACCTAGCAGTTTGAAAGCACATCAAAATGCAAGTAGATAAATAGGTACCGCTCTGGCGGGAAGGTAAATGGCATTTCCGTGCACTGCTCTGGTTCGCCAGAAGCGGCTTAGTCATGCTGGCCACATGACCCGGAAGCTGTACGCCAGCTCCCTCGGCCAGGAAAGTGAGATGAGCACCACAACCCCAGAGTCGTCTGCGACTGGACCCAATGGTCAGGGGTCCCTTTACCTTTTATTTATTTGAAGCATGGTAGTAAGAGCTGTTTGACAGTGGAACAGCCTCCCTTGGAAGGTGGGGGGCTCCTCCTCTTTTGAGATTTTGAGAGAGAGGTCGAATGCCCACCTGCAGGGATTCTTGTGCTGCAATTCCTGCTTTGCAGAGGGCTGGACTAGATGAAACTCTGAAGTTCTATGATTCTAGGACTCAAGCACTCCCCACACCTGTTCTACTCCAAAATCATTTCCTCAAAAAAAAAAAAGCCAAATGCAAGAGAGGACAATATTTTGAGATGTTATTATATAGAATCATAGAATTGTAGAGTTGGAAGGGAACCCAAGGGTCATCTAGTCCAACCCCCTGCAATGCAAGAATCCTTTTGTTTATTTATTGTGTGTGTGCTTTGGCCTGCTGAGAAATTCAATACGTTCGATTTTATTAGTCTGCAGACAGAGTCAATACATTAGACTTTGCCCTACAGCATCCATTTCTCATGAATCCATTCAGAAGGGCATCCTGTCCTGTGACAGCATCCCGTTTCCAATTTACTGAGGTTGAAAACAGCACAAACATCTACAATTATTTTGGCATGTGTTTGTTTTTTTAAAAAAAAATCCTAAATACGCAGTTAGATACTTTGAGCCAAGAGCCAAACTGCAAAATTCAGAACAGTGACCCCACCCAAAAAGATGCCCTGCTCCATCTGATTGTCTAAGAAGAGAGAAACTGGTTGATTCACTTAAAAAAACAACAATATGGGATGGGTCAAAAATCCCAGCAACCCTATTGGGCTTGCGCATCACATTTCCTTAGGTTCTTATTCTGCTGAGATGATCTGACACTACTCTTTATCCTCTAGGCTCTAGAAACCAGCACCTCCTTTGAAGGCAGCTTTCCCAGCAGCACCCAATGCCACTTCCAAAGTCTGGAAGGAATGTTCTGCACTGGGCTGTTTGCAGGCACACACCCAACTGGAACATGTGATGCATCTAGGTTATCAGGCCACCCACATGCCCTGCTTGTCTCTCGTTCAGCCTCATGGGGAGGGACCTGTAGGATGCCACCTTCTCAGTGGTGGCTCCCGGTTTGTGGAATGCCCTCCCCCTAGCAAACTGCACCTGTCTCCTCCATTAACTTATTTGAAGAAGAATCAAACAACATTCCCATTTCCCCAGGCCTCTGGTGGTGGGAAAATCTGTTCCTGCCAAACCTTAAATTATTAGTTGTGAGGTGACTGGCTTGGGGTTTATTTAAAGAAGCGTTTAAACCTTTTTTTTTAGAAGGTTGTTTTTAAGCTATTTGTTAGAAGTTTCCATTGCATTCTGGTTTTGACGTATTTGCCACCCGGCACTCCTTCAGGAGGAGGGGTGGAGCTACACACCTAGTATTTGATTACATCTGGCAATGTCCTTTGTGAGGCACACAGTCCCGTATGCAGCTTTCAGCAAGTCTATACCTACACTGAGGACTTGGCTACAAGGGAAGTCTGTTTGTGTACAGCGATTTTCCTCTTTGAAACACAACCAGTTCCCTCCAGAATGTTCCTGCTGGGCACTCCCAGCCTCCTCTGATCCTGGGAAGTAGGTCAGAACAATTAGCCACGAAAGACAGCAGAGCAGAGGCATAACAGCAGCTTGCCCCGGGGCAAAACAAAACAATGCCAATATCCAAAAGCCCACTTCCCAACTCTTCCTCCTCCTACTTGACCCAGCTCCTAGATGGGTGGGTGGAGAAGTAACACCACCACGCAGTTCTACCCTGGAAGCTGCAAGGGCAGAGCTCACAGGACACAGCCACAATGGCTGCGTTCTAACTCCACTGTACGACCAGTGCAGCCACACTGGGCACTGTGATGGAGGGGGCGGCACAATAATGCTGTATAACAGAGCGGGGAGGGGAACCTGCACAGGACACCACTGAAAGTTGAGCGCCCACAGTCTGTCACTGCCCTGGGAGGCAGTATGCCCTCGAGTACCAGCTTGGGGGGGGCGACGGACAGAAGTGGGCAGAGTGCCCTTGAGCTCAGGCAGTAGCGTAGCATGGGTTGCCTGGTGCCCGGGGAGCAGCAAGTATTGCAAATTCATTGAGGGTCCTTCTCCTTGATGCAGTTGTGCCGCCTTTGCATACGGAAGTCTTTGGGATGAGAACAATGACAGAGAATGAGTGAACTTCTGATACCAGATGAGCTGAAACGGTTTATGCTGTATCTTTATAAGTGTTTTGCATTGCCTGATGGGTTATTAAAGTGTTGTTTCTTATCCAGCGAACATGAAAAAGTATTGTGCCCCCCGGTGGACTAGGCAGTTTGGGTGGAAGCACGTGCAGAGCCCACACAAGAGGGGACGGAGCCCGCCTCCAACAGGCTCCTCAACTGCTGTCTCCATCCGCCTGCCCACTAGACAAGGGGTCAGCAACCTTTTTCAGCAGGGGGCTGGTCCACTGTCCCTCAGACCATGTGGTGGGCCAGACTATATTTTGAAGAGAGAGAAAATGAACGAATTCCTATGCCCCACAAATAACCCAGAGATGCATTTTAAATAAAAGAACACATCCTACTCATGTAAGAACATGCTGATTCCCAGACCATCCACGGGCTGGAATGAGAAGGCAATTGGGCCGCATCCGGTCCCCGGGCCTTAGGTTGCCTACCCCTGCACTAGACAAACCCGCCTGCCACCGAACTTCAGCTGCCAAGGCTCTGTGCCTGTCGTCTGATTGCACCCCAGTTCTCAACAGCTCCAGCCAGCATGGCCAGTAGATCAGGATAACCATAACTGGGAGCCCAGCAACATTTGGTGGGCCCACAAGATCCCCTCTCCTGTGTTAGAAGTGTGACAGCTACCGCTGGAACCAGGCACAATCTTCTGGGAGACGGAGGGAGTTTCCCAAATCGCATCAAGCTGCAGCGGCACTTTCTGGCACTCGTCTGCCACACCACTAGGGCTCGGGGATCCTTGCATATCCAGCAGAAAGGGGGTCATCACTACTGGAGGTCCCATCCCCGCCCACCAGGGCCTTTTAAATCCTGACCTCTGGGACTGCTGCTCCCCAGCGTGGGCAAAGTTTCACAGAATCATAGAACTGTTAGAATTCCTGCTCCATGGTTGCAGTCATGGGATTTTTGTCTTATAACATGACGGTGTATGTTTTGACTCCACAGAGCGGGAAGTGACAGAGACAGGATATTTGTGTTACTGTGTTCCGTGAAGTGGGACTATTGTCCTTTGTTTTTTCTCTTTGCTGTCTGAT